AAGTTTAGCTGTGGAATATGTGTCAGCTTGTCTCTATGTGATGTTTATCAAATCCTTAGATGAGTCCAGTGGTCCTCAATTGGGGGTGATTTTGTCTACAAGGAAACATATGGCAATGTCTAAAGACATATTTTGGTTGTCACAACTGCTGGGGAGGAGGTGCTACTGGCATCTAGTGGATAGTGGGCCAGAGATGCTGCTAAACATCATCAATGCACAGGACAGTCCCACCACAAAGAATTATCTGGCCTGAAAATGTCAGTAGCTCTGAGGTTGAGAAATCCCACATTAGCTCTTTCATCTTAGTTAGGCCAGGTCAGTACCGTTTTCTATGTCAGAATGTCACTGTCAAGATAGTATTGGTGCTATTACTGAGAAACTCTGATATATACACATATGCAGTATTTGTACATATTGGGATAAAGTGAATATTAATTATATTAATGCTAAGAACTGAGATTTTCACAATTAGAGAAAAGATACAAATATAAAATCAAATATATTAATCCTAAATTTGAATGGGAAATACTAACATGGACTCATTATTTGCCTCTTGTTAAGGATATGTATTTCCTAGCTCTGTATCAAAAGGCCTAGTTGTGAGACTGTGATCTCTGAATAGTAATATCATTTCCCACTAAAGGCACCAGGGCTTCACGAATAAATGGCTGATTCCAGAAGCAAAATGTACATAATGGACCTGAGTCATCCTGCACAAATAAGAAGGAAACCTGGCCTTGACCACGCCTAACAGTAGGGGAAGACTAAGGAACAGAACCCCCAAGTTGAAGTTCTATTCTTAAATTCCAAGGGTGAAATAAATGTTGGGAGGCAATTGTCCATTTCTGCCATAGCAGCATGAGGGAGACAAATGAGTCTCTGGATCTGTACTCTCTCATATGGTAGCACCAGCCACATGTGGCTTTTGGGTACTGAAACTCAGTTATTCCAAATTAAGGTGTGATGTAAGTGTAAAATATATGCTGGATTTCTCCAATTTAGTATGAAAAAAGAAACTACAATATCACGATAATTTTTATACTGATATTAAAATAATGTTTTGAAAATACTGTTAAGTAAAACATGTTATTAGCATTAATTTCACCTATTTCTTTTTACTTTTTTAAAAAAAATGTGGCTACTAGAAAACCTAAAAGTATGCATGTGCCTCACAATACATTTCTATTATATTTCTATTAGACAGTGCCACTGTTGAATAACCGGGTACAGGGTCTTCTGAAAGGTCCCCAGGCTTGGGAAATGGGACACACATGGGAAGTTTAGCAAGGCAGAGAGAAAAAAAAGGAATAAAAAAGTTCAGAAAGGAAGGAAGAGAGAAAGAAAGTGATGGATAGAGAGGAAGAGGGAGGGATAAAGTGATGGAGGGAAGGAGGAAAAGAAAGAAGAGGAAGGAAGGAAGGAAGGAAGGAAGGAAGGAAGGAAGGAAGGAGGGAAGGAGGGAAGGAGGAAGGGCGGGCTACAGAATGGGAGAAATCATTTACAAATCATATATCCAATAGAGGGCATGTATCTGGAATATATTTTAAAAGTCTTATAACTCAATAATAAAAAGAAAAATTTTTAAGTGAACAAAGGATTTGAAAAGACAGTTCTCCCAAGAAGATATGCAACTGGCCAATAAGGACATGAAAAGATGCACAGTATCATCTGTCAGAGAAATGCAAATCAAAACCATTTCTCATCCACTCAGATGGCTACAATAAAAGAGACATATAATAACAAGTGTTGACAAGGTTGTGGAGAAATCGGAACTCTCATCCTTTGCTTGTGAAATGTGAATTTGCTTCATGTGAAATGGTGCAACATCTTTGGAAAACAGTTGGGCCGTTCCTCAAATAATCAAACGTAGAGTGGCCGTATGACCCAATAATTCTACTCATAGGTATAAGAACAGGCAAATCTACAAGAACATAAAGCAGATCAGTGATTGCCTAATGCTGAGGTGGGCATAGGGGAAATGGGATGGTTGCTAACAAGTACAGGGTTTCTTTTTGAGGTAAAGAAAAATGTTCTAAAATGGATTGTGGTGGTAGTTGCACAACCCTAAATATACTCAAAACCATTGAATCGTATACTCTAAATGGGTGAATTGGGTGGTATGTGAGTTATATCTCAATAAAATTTTAGGGGGGAAAAAACAAAACTAATGGGGTTGTACCAAACAAGTCATGAGCTTGTAGTGAAAGAGAGAAAGAAGCTGATGGCTGACTCATTGGTCGCCACTGAAGGTCGCTGTGGCATCAACCCATGACTAAAACAGAGAAAAAATCCTGCTTTTCTAGTATGAACTACATTTCAGGGTTACCAAATAACCTTACTGGAAGAGAGAAAGTTCTATTATCAAGAATACTTCCAGCTGTTGATCAGAAGAAATGATAGACTTGTACCCCTGGTGAAATAACTGATTCAGGCAGAGGTCATCAGTGGATGCTAACACCATTGATGGGAGCTGTGCAGGCAAGGAACCAGGCTGACACACCTGAACCCAACGGTCAATCTTAGCATCACTAAAAGTGGAGCAACAAGACATCACATACGTCTAGGTATAATGCAACGTGATGTGCACAGCATCGCCTATGAAGTATGTTTGCCAAAAAATTCTATTGACCCTGAATATAAATAATCAAACCTTTAGTCTAATTACAGGAGTAAGAACAACCCTACTACCATGAGGATACAACGAGCCTAATCCACAAAGTGTGGACATCCTGCAAGGCAATCCCTCTGGCAGGCAATAAGTCAATGGCAAGTGGAGGAAAAGAAAAAAAAAAAGAGACTGAGGCGGGCGGATGTTCTGATTTGAGGTCAGAAGTTCGAGACTAGCCTGGCCAGCATGGTGAAACCCCATCTGTACTAAAAATACAAAAAAATTAGCCGGGTGTGGTGGTGGGTGCCTGTAGTCCCAGCTACCTGGGAGGCTGAGGCAGGAGAATGGCTTGAACCCGGGAGGCAGAGGTTGCGGTGAGCCAAGATCGCGCCGCTGCACTCCAGCCTGGATGACAGAGCAAGACTCCATCTCAAAAAGAAAAAGAAAAAGAAAAAAAAGAGGCAGTCTGTTCTAGATTAAAAACAACTTAAGGGAATGACCAGTTACACAGTACAAACCTTGTTTGGATACCAGTTCAGTAAGTCAATGGTAAAGAGAGTTTTGAAACAAATTGGGAAATCTGAATATAAAGAGTAAAGAATCACTGTTAATTATGTTAGGGTGATAATGACTTTGTAGTAATGTAAAAAAAAAAAAGTCCTTATTTTTCTTCGACATGTACACTTGAGAAATAACATTATAGTTGAATATGATTTAAGATATTGCAGCAAAGAAGTGGCAGGGGGTGGTGCTGGAATAGATGAAGTAAATTGAGCAAGATGGTGTTAGTTATTAAAACGGGGAGATGGTGGGTTTATTCTGCTTTTTTCCTTTCCTTAGTGTTTTTTGGAATTTTTTATAATAAAACATTTTTTTAAATCCTAACAATGCTCAGGATATATGAGTTAGAACATACTGGTTTTAAGGCACATTATAATGATGCAATCGATGATATAAGGAACATAAGCTCAAAAGCACATGTGTATTTGCCAATGACACATTGAGAAGCAAATTTTTGGAAAAGCCCTTCTAAGCTTATTCAGTTTTTATTTGTTTTTTGCTTTGTTTCTGGTTTTTTGACCTCTGTGAAGCATTTTATTTGGGCTTAGGAAAATTGAAGCAGCACAATAACTTTCTCAACAAATTCCTAGGTATTCACTGGGGGTAGAAGGTCCTCTATTCATCCAGAAAATATGTAGGTCTCCCCAGGGCACAGACCTTCTCACATTCATGCCTAAAGACTTACAGTTTTTCTCCCTCCCCAGCTGACTCTAATGTTCACCCCCAGTGGTTATGATCAATCTTGTTTTAAACTGATGAAGAAAAGAAGATTCCTTCCCTAAAAGTTTCCATGATCACATTTCAATGACGGTTCTCTCTTTGGACTCCACTTTGACATTATTGTATATAGCTCCTATATCTTTAAATTGTAAAATGCTGATCACCTGAGCAAGTAAAGTATTCTAGATTCAAGGGGAGGTGGAGCTAGGTTTAAATTATGAGTATATTTAAAATAACAGATTACAAATGAACGTTATGATTTTTTTTTCAATGACTTCTGGTTTGGGAGTCCCAGATCATTAGCATGCACTACAGAAGAGTTTCTCTTTTCATCTTTGAATGTAGAGCAAGGGATGGGTGTGAGGGTCATGAGGTCACAAGTCCCAGCTGGGCTACAAGAGTTGTTGATGTTGGTGGATTGCCCTCTCTTGACCTTGGTGCCCCTCTGAGAATGGGAAGAACAGCATTCCCTTTATCTATCTCCTGCTTCGCCTGAAGTTTGAAAGAAATAATGTATGTGAAAACATTCTCAGAACTATAAAGGGCTTATACTTATTTTTTAAATATATTCTCCAAGTAGATATTGTTTTTCCCTAATCAACATCTCTTATTTCCCAATTCCACATCTAGAATTGTTCTTAAACCACTCTGGGACATGGTTTAAATAAGACTCTGAAAATAGATTATATTTTCCACTAGAGATTATTTACCTTTCTATTTACTGTGCAGCATCAAAGAGAAGATTTTCCTCCTAACTTAAAAAAGCTTAATTTTAATACTATAAAATTCAAACATATTATTTGAGTCCTGGAGATTTTAAGCATTTTGTAGTTCTATGCCAAAGTCCTACTTAATTTAAACATACTATGTAATTTGACTTTAATCTCGAAATGTCCATTTTAAATATTGTTAGTGGTTGACCTCTGTTAAGGCAGATCTTTCATGGTACAGACGGCAAGGATTGGGGACCTGAACACTAAAGCCTTCACATTAATCTTCCAGGGCTGCAGCCAAACAACACGGCTTTGCCTGGAGTGGTCAATATAAAATTGTTATTTGTACTTAGTGACTCCTGAAAATGTATTCAAAATGTACTCTCTTGGTCTCTTACCACGGCAGGTTAGAAGCTGCTAAAACAAACACAAGATCTTCTGAGTGCGCCAGCCCATCCATCTGCACCAGTAACTCTGTCTTCATCCGCAAGCTTCCTTCATGTTCTCCCCTACAGAGAGAGAAGACATGATTCTCCCATGTCAGAGCCTTCGCCCTCATGACAAGAGCAGCATTCACAGCAATGTCCCTGTGACTGTAGAACAGTTTCTGTTCTGATGGCCAGTGGAGCCATTCATACTAGAATTAGAGAAAATGAGCAATTCGCTATTATTTTCACATAGAGCTTGATAGAAAGCAAATAAATGAATATAATGATGGTATTTGAAAGAAAACCAAAGGCAGGCAGTGAGCTGGAGAAAATAACTGAAGAGTCCACAGTCCCATTGGTAGATTAAATGCAGCCCAACTGTGTCTACCTGCAGCATTATTTACCTCTTTAAAAATGACATAATGGAGGCTAATCCCTTTCACTTACATAGCACACAGGAAAGTACTTTCACACCCTCAGCCTCCTGAGTAGCTGGGACCTCAGGCGCAAGACCGCTGCCTGGCTAGGCGTAAGTTTTTTAGTATCTATGCCCCTTAATACTCAACTACCTTTTCCTAAGAGAGAAGACCCTCTCTCAGTATGTATATATGTGTGTGTGTGTGTGTGTGTGTGTATAGTTTATTGCATATTATAAGCAGAATATATAATTAGCATTTGCCCATATATTTGCTACATGTTTAATTATCGTTTGCCCATAACTATAATTCCTTTAACATAACATGATCCAAGAAGTCTTCAGAGCACCCATCCTTATTTCCTGACCCTTTGAAGACTCTAATTTTAGAGTCTTTGATCCCAGAGAAGGAAATGGAAATTCAGGGCAGAACCTGGAGCACACACAGATGAAGAGTTTTCACATTAGCCCGATGAGGGCTGTGGGAAACTGGGGATAGAGATCAACAAAGCACGTGTAACAACAAGTGCATACGGAGACCTGGTCTTTGCAGAGTGACTATGAGGGTCGGCTGGTGCATTCCCATCTGGGTGCCTGTGCAGTTGCCTGCTCCTGTCAGGCCTAGTATAGAAAGCAGAGTGCTCCAGCCTGGGGCTGACAAGCACCAGCTCCAGTTAAGCCATGGAAAATGTCCCGTTTCAATCAATTACATGAATCCCGTAGATTACTTGGGTACATCTTTATGGTTGCTTTTCCCTGCCGGGTAAATGGCTTCCAATGAGTAAAATTTCATAAATTATATTCTACTTATACTTCCAACAAGCTAATTAATTGTGTTTTATTACTATTACTTCTGCCTTGATGATAGACTATTAAAGGTCATTAATAAATGCAGCTGTGTTGAGATTTCCCAGAGATCTGTTTTTTCAAGCCAGGGGTGCCAGATTTAGTAAAAAGCTTCAGTGGAAAATACCTCTGATCAAGACAGAAAGCTGATCTTAAAAACAAATAAACAAAAAGCACAACACTACTCAGGCTTTTGGAAGCACAAACAGAAGGCTTATTACAGTCTGAGAAGTGTTCCTTCCTGCTGAGGACATTCGGTGACACTCAATCTTTACAGATAATATATGTGACATATTTCAAGTCAGCCCTGCTGAGCCATAACCTGATGCCACAGAGAAGTGGTGTTTTCCCAGGCTTCGCACACCGAGGGCTGCCTCTCGGGAGTGAAGTACAGACGTGGCCCTGCACAGTGGCTGAGTGGGCAAGCCTCATTCCCCAGGGGCAGCCCCTCTGGCTCCAGAGGAGGCCATCACAGTGGCTATTTTCAGCCAGCAGGACTGATACGGCAGCCTGGGATCCTGAGGCTAGAGGATCTTCAGGCCTGAAAACCACTCTGTGGGGAACGGGGGAAGGGAGGATGGCATTTCCTCCGGTTATAAAAACTACTTAAATCAGCTATTCAGTTAACAGGATCTAATTTAAAGACCTTTCCATGTGTCTGCAGAAAATTTGTGGGCTTATTAATAGGCTTATTCTGCTAGTAAATGTCGATGGGCTTCCGACCATCAAACACACTTACAAGAGGGGAGAAGGGATGACAAAAAAAAAAAAAAAGCAACAACAATAACAACAAAAACCCCAACCCTGTCTGTTACCCAGGAGCTGTGCCTCTCTGACTCATCACCGACTCCAGCTCGTCCAGGAAGATCGTGGATGGGGCGTGGTAGCGGGCAAGTTCAAATAACACCTGGGTGGGGGAAAAGCAAGCAAGTATTCAAGCTCATAGACTTAAAGTCCTCAGATGCTCCCAGAGAATAAAAACTTAGAATGACTGTAATAATAAGCATTTATGCTGCACTCTGTTATTTCACAATAACTTTATAATCATTACAATTATTTCTCCCTACCTCCACCCCATGGGGTCGGATGGTCCAATTATTTCCATTTATAACTTGATAAAATTAGAGGCAGAGAGTAGGTGGTTACTCCAGGGTTACTAATCATAAATATGAGAGCTTCAGATAAAATTTGGTTCCCAAGCTTGCAGTCGGCTAGTTAACCCCTGAAACACCCTACCAATAATATGTTCCATGTGGACACAAGAGCCTTGAAACATGTATAATCATTTGATAATTCTTCCCTTAATCTTTGGGAACAACAGGAGGTTATTCTCAGAAGAAAATATTTCAGGGGAAGGATTGAGTTCCTGTCATGGGTAACAAGGCTGACAAATTTAGCCCCTTTGTGTTCCTCAAATTACTCCATAGCCTTCCCACACTACCTCAAAAAGTCTGCTTGGTAGGCTCAGGTACTAGAAGGCAATTCTCGACTGAATACGATGTTCTATTTGAGAATAAAATAAAATATTATAGACTGAACAAGAACAGGAAAGCAACCAGCAAAAGAACAGACATATAAAAACAAAATAAAGAGCTCTAAAGGGAGATGTGGTGGTGATGAATAGAATATAACAACCTAAACCTTTTTTTTTTTAACCCTGAAACTGATCTCTTGAGCATCATATACAATCCTTCACCGGTTGATGGGAAAAAACAGTGGAGATTTAGAAAAGAATAGAAATTCTTTAATAGGCATGGGGGATTTATTCTCCATGTCACTTAGCACTAGCAAACCATCACAGAATCAGAGGGAAAGGGTTCTGAAAAAGTCAGGTTGTGGTTTTCACGAGCAGCAGCAGCTCATCCCTTACAGGTCTCCCTGTCACCGAATGGGAAATACCTCACCTTCCCCACTGCTCATGGGTACATTCAAGCACATGCACCAGCATCTCCCTTTTACAGAATCCTGTTTTATTGGAACAATTGACTGAGTTTAATGAACTGAGAGAACAATGGCAATGCCAGGGCATTCATCACAATGCCTTCCAGATACAATGGAGACCACCTAATTCAGGGCAAATAACTTTCTGTCCTTGTCACACACACACAAAGAAGCCCAAATATACCTGATATTAAGGGTGACTACAACAGTGGCAGTCTACCCAATGAAAAATGAAATATTAGAATATAAAACCCATACATGTTTTTAAGGTGCTCGCTAAAGGCAGAAAAGAGACCAAGAACCTCTGCTAGACCACACACCCAGTTGGAAGGAGAACCACGCCTGGAGTCTAGGCATTCATACTGCCCACTGCATTGCTCATTCCACTTGCAGGGAATATACAGAATCATGGGTAAGTGTTTCTGGAAGCATTAGTCTAAAATTTTCAGAGGAACCTGGAGGAAGTTAGATCATACAACTGGGGGGTGGTGCATTGAAAGATGTAAGCATCAACAGATGTATGCATTTGCTAAAGAGACCACTCAACTATTCCGTAGCGATCAGCTCCTAAAAGGCACGAACATTAGTAGGGGAGGGAGGAACATAACCCAATGGTTCCCTATAAATAACTCTTTAATTGGAATAGAAAGAGAAACAAATGGTAGAAAAAGCTTCTCTGCTTTAGGGGAAGGTCCTGAAGGGTTTGCTTTCTTTGAAAGCTTCACAGTAAGGAGCCTGACAGCATGACAAAGATTGTCCAGCTGAGGATCTTCCCAAAAGCTTGAAAAATAAAGAGAAAATGATGTAATTTCTGAAAGGAAATGAGATGAGCTCCTTTGAGGTTAGCAGAGGTTATCTGTTTCTTCTTGCATTATTTTTTAAATTATCCAAAATAAAAATGCATGTCACAAAAATATATAAATATTTTCTAAAACTTTCAAAAGTTGTTCAAGTTCATTCAGAATCAAAGAAATACACATTCAAGCACTGAAATATTGAAATGCACGTTTAATCACTGAAATACACTATTACTTTTTACTATTAGATTGACAAATGTTTATTTTGTAAAAGATACTGGTGTGTTGGTCAGGGTGTGGAGAAGCAAATGCACTCAGGAAGCATTGATGGGACTCTAAGAGGGTACAACCCTGTTGGCAAAAAGCAATCTGGCAGTCGGTGATGTCTGTTCCCTTTGACTTGGCAATTCTACTTCATAGAAATTGTCCTACACTATATAGGCAAAAACATGTGTACATATAAGACTGCCCACTCTAGCTTTGTTCACAACAGCAAGAGACTAGAAACAACCTAAAGGCCCATCAAGAAAAGACTGGTTAAATACGTTTTGGTACATTTATGCAACGAACTACCATATAGACATAAAAGAACATGCTTTATCTATAATAGTGTGGAACAATATCCAAGTTATATATATTAAGTTGGGGAAAAACTGGGTACAAAAGGAAATATAGAGTATGTTCCTACTTGCATTTAGAAAGGCAGGGAGAAGCTAGGCATGGTGGCTTATGCCTGTAATCCCAGCATTTTGGGAGCCCGAGGTGGGAGGATTGCTTGAGCCCAAGAGTTCAAGAGGAGCCTGGGCAACATGGTGAAACCTGGTTTCCACAAAAAATACAAAAATTAGCTGGGCTTGGTGGTGTGCACCTATAGTCTCAGCTACTGGGGAGGCTGAGGTGGGAAGATTACTTGAGCCCAGGAGGTCGAGGCTGCAGTCGGCTCTGATAATGTCACTGCACTTTGGCTTTGGTGCCTCGGTGACAGAGCGAGACCCTGCCTCAAAACAAAACAGAACACCCAAAAGAAACAGTTGTTGATGTTAATGTAGATAATAGATAAATGTTCTGCAGGGCTGCTGTAGCAACTGTTAATAGTAGTTGCCTCTGGGGAGAGGGCTGAGGAGTCTGTACATCCTCTTATACTCTTTTTTTTTTTTTTTAAGGCTAGTTACTTTTAAAATATATAGTAAAAGAAAGGAAGAGGCCGAGCATGGTGGTCACGCCTGTAATCCCAGCACTTTGGGAGGCCGAGGTGGGCAGATCACAAGGTCAGGAGTTTGAGATCAGCCTGGCTAATATGATGAAACCCTGTCTCTACTAAAAATACAAAAAAGCCAGGCGTGGTGGGGGTGTGTATAGTCCCAGCTACTTGGGAGGCTGAGGTAGGAGAATCGCTTGAACCCAGGAGACAGAGGTTGCAGTTAGCCGAGGATGCACCACTGCACTCCAGCCTGAGCGACCGAGCAAGACAAGAAAGAAAGAAAGAAAGAAAGAAAGAAAGAAAGAAAGAAAGAAAGAAAGAAAGAAAGAAAGAAAGAAAGAAAGAGAGAGAGAGAGGGAGAGAGAGAGAGAAAGAAAGACAAAGAGAGAAAGAAAGAAGAAAGAAAAAGAAAAAGAAAGAAAGAAAGAAGGAAGGAAAGAAAAAAGAAAGAAAGAAAGAAAGAAAAAGCAAGCAAGCAAGCAAGCAAGAAGGAAAGAAAGAAAAAGAAAGAAAGAAAAAGAAAAGAAAGAAAGAAAGAAAAAGAAAGAAAGAAAGAGAGAGAAAGAGAAAGAAAGAAAGAGAGAGAAAGGCAGGTAGGAAGGAAGGAATTGGGAGAGGAATTGTTTCCTCACTCCTTTTTTTTTAATTTATTTTTTTTGCTCCCACTCCACCGGGATTTTTCTTCACTCTTAGAATCCTAACAAAATAATACTGAACCAGAGGAAAACTTTAAGTGAATACAATGCTCACACAGGATGGAGAATTCTTGTTAATTGACTTTTCTGGTTATTCGACATTAAACCAGAAAATTCATGTAACTTCAGTCTTTGTTAGGAATACTATAAACTTTTTGAGTTTCTTCTTCTGCCTAGGTAAGTCCTGTCCTGAGAGTATGTCACCCTCCTTCGCGCACCCTGCAGTGTCTTGTGCTCGTGGTTCTAAACACCGCTTTTCATGACAGAAGATGAACCTAAACTAATTCTGAGTGGTATCTTTTAAGAGTTTGTTGTTATTCAGCATATAGAAATGACACGTTAAAAAAAAAAGACTTCAGGGTGATAAGAATTCTAGTTAGATGAATTTCAGCTACAGTCATCTCTAGGCATATGGAAGAGATTGGTTGCAGATCCTCTCCCTCTTCCTCCTGACACCCTTCCCTGTACCAAAATCTGTGCATATTAACTTGGGGAAAAGCCAGGTACAAAAGGGAACATATAGTATGTTCCTACTTGTATTTAGAAAGGCAGGGAGAAGCTAGGCATGGTGGCTCATGCCTGTAATTCCAGCATTTTGGGAGCCCAAGGCAGGAGGATTGCTTGAGCCCAAGAGTTCAAGAGGAGCCTGGGCAACATGGTGAAACCTGGTTTCTACAAAAAATACAGAAATTAGCTGGGCTTGATGGTGTGTGCCTATAGTCTCAGCTACTGGGGAGTCCCACAGTCTATCCTGGGAAACCCACATATACTCGGGTTTTGCATCCTGTGAATACTGTATTTTGTCGAAAAAAATTCCCCATATAAGTAGACCCATGCAGTTGAAGGGCCAACTGTTGTTCAAGGGTCAACTGTAACTGAACCTCCAGCTAACTAAAAGCACATGGAGCCATAACTAAGTGTAGCTAAATTCAAGCCCCACTTAGGAACTGGCACTGAGTTATACGCAAGATGAAGAACAAAGAAATAGAAGATATCAACGTAGGTTTCCACAAATTACCATCTTGAATGGGTAACAAGAATTTATATAAGCTTACATATTTGCAGCAACTTGAAAATGATATCAATGTAATAGATAATAGGTTATTTTAGGTAAGTCAATCCTTTAAACATATTCTATTATGATTTCCAAATAGGCCATCATATTTTGAAAGAGTCATCTAAGGGAATGTAATTTAAGCATAACTTGTTAATCACTTTTCAGAAAACATGTAATATTTTATATTCACTTATATTGAGTACATATCTGCCATTCTACAGAGTGTGATAGTTTAACAGGTTTTCAAAGAAGGACCTTTCTTACACTAGGACCTAAACCATAAATGGAAGTGCTCTTAATGTCACTGGAAGATTCAGTACAATTTTCTAACATAAAATATAACATCAACTATAAATGTGATATTGTAAAGATGGAAACAACCTCTGAAAGAAAGCAAAAAATTGCTGGGCACAGTGGCTCATGCCTGTAATCCCAGCACTTTGGGAGGCTGAGGTGGGCGGATCACCTGAGGTCAGGAGTTTGAGACCAGCCTGGCCAACATGGTGAAACCCTGTCTCTACTAAAAATACAAAAAAAATTAGCTGGGCATGGTGGCAGGCACCTATAATCCCAGCTACTTGGGAGGCTGAGGCAGGAGAATCGCTTGAACCTGGAAGGCGGAGGTTGCAGTGAGCCGAGATGGCACCATTGCACTCCAGCCTGGGGGACAAGAGCGAGACTTCCTCTGAAAAAAAAAAAAAGAAAGAAAGAAAGCAAAAAATCTTACAGGCTATGGGCACTATGGAAGCAAAGGTGCTCAGAACTCTAAAGTATGGGGGGGGGGGGGGGGGGGGGGGGGGGGGGGGGGGGGGGGGGGGGGTGAAAAAAAATAATGAAGGTTAAAGTTTCTTGATTCTTTCTTAGAGTATCTAGCATAGGGACTAACATACAGTAGTAGCCTCTCAATAAATGTTAACCAAATATAGTGTACATGTTAAATAATAAATGCTTCTTGAATGAAGAAAAAATATGCCAAGTGAGAGATTTTTTTTCCCAGCCTTCATGCCTAAATTGCATGAATCAAAAAAGAGCTGTTGATCAAATTCCCAAAGGAAGGGAGATCATGTTTTGCTGATGGGGGCACAATTAACTTCCACACATAATAGTCAATCCATTTCCCAAGCTACTGGTAATCAAGATCCAGGATTGAATCTAACATAAAATCACCTAAAAGCAAAGAAGCTCTGACATCATTTTGTACCACCGTATTACACTAGAACTTATTTTTTAAAACAAAATTAAGAATTCCTACCCGAACAAGTTTTTCTGAATCCCCTCTCCATTTGCTGACAATGGTGGATGCAGAAATGTTAAAGAAGGTTGTTTTACATTCAGTGGCCACAGCTTTGGCCAGTAAAGTCTTTCCTGTACCTAAAGAGAGACACGTAAAAGATGAGCAGGCATTTCAACTCCATCATCCCCCTGCTTATAGACAGAAGTCAGTTTCACACATAAGGAAGGAAGTGACTGCTCAGCTCTCATGTGCCCCGGTCCTGAAGTGAGGACAGAAGGGACAACTCATCCTCTGCACACACACTTAACACCAACATCAAAATAGGATGCTGTGTTTACCTGGAGGGCCGTACAGCAGTAGTCCTTTCCAGGGGGAAAGAATTCCTGTAAATAGCTGTGGATACTATGGAAACAAGGAACAAGGATGAGGTTTGGTGCTGACACATCAGCCTGCATACTCTCAGCACAGACAAGCCAGGAAAGCTGGAGTGAGATTCAGGTCTCCTTTTTTTTGCTTAAGGTCGTCTGCTTCTGACCTAAATAAACAGATCTTATTCATCCCAATTTTATTTTCACGCTCGATTAGAATGCCTGACTTAATTTTTGTGACTTTTTAAAAGAGCAATTTTTTAAGGAAAGGAAAGGTATATGTAGGTACTCTTCCTCTCTGTTAAACAGTTATCTCTTACATGCATAACATCGTTTTCCCCAAACTTCTATATGGAGAGCATTTGGCAATCTTTTGAATGTTGTAAAGCAGGTATGAACTTTAAAATACATACTAGAACCAATTAGTAAAGGTTTATTTGAATAAAGTACAGAGCTATGGTGAAACCTGTTTTGGAAGTTGAGAATATTCAGGGGCAAACGCATTAAGAGACACCAACTCTGAACAGGACATGCGTAGCCTTCAAGGAAGTCTCGCCTATTAGTTCAAATTCAAACAATCTGGGGAAGGTGGGTGGCAAGGGTTGGTAAAGAATGCGGGAGAGGGGTGTGGCAAGGAATATTAGTAAAATTAAAACTAGCTATTAGTTTCTTGCTAATCCTGACGTCAAATCTCAACGCATTTGGAGCTTGTAATGCCATGGAGAGAACAAATCCAGGGAATTTCAATGAGATGTTCTATCCTTTTTAAAAGTTTTATGCTATAGTTCCACTTAGAGGAAAAGGTGAGTAAACTTCTATTAATTCTAAACACCAGTGTATTTCTTACTCCTAAGTCTGAACACAGAAAGAAAGAGGGCGAAAAGAGAATCTAAATGTATTGATTTTTGTCTCGTTAGAGGAAAGCATCCAAAAATCAGGGGCCACATGGGCTCAGTGGTAAGACTAAATAGGTTATTCAATAAAATAAATTCATAATCCTGACAGCAGGAAATTACAAAAAATGGCCATAAATTATTTGTAGCTCCTTTCATCAAGGAGTGGAGCCTATTTCTCCAACATTTGAATCTGGGCCTGGTCTTGTGACTTTGGCCAGTGGGACATTAGCAAATGTAAGAGATTTGAAAATATAAGACTAGCAGAAAAATATACGAGGCATGAAAGATGCTTGTGAATTAGAACTTTCCCTTTCTTGCCTCTTTCTGGGAACCCACTGCCACCATGTGAACAGGACTGGGCTTTCCTGCTAGAGGATGAGAGGTCACATGGAGAGACACCTTGGCTGTACTGCTTGTCCCAGCCTTTTCAGTCTCTCCATCTTTTCTGCTACTCTGGCTGATGGCTCAGACCTGTGATTGAGCCCAGTCAAGAATACCACATGGAAAAGAGATGAGCCAGCCCAGCTGAGCCCAGCTCCAACTGCCTACCCACAGAATTACAAACAAATAAATTGTTGTCTTAAGGCACTAAGTTGTGGGGTGGTCTGTTATACAACAAAAGCTAAGTTTTCACTTACCTCTTCATCACCCCATTTGTAAATCAAACATGGAGAGTATTGTTTTTCTATTTTTCTACCCAGTTTGTAAACTGCACAGAGATTTGTCAGTAATAAGTAATGAGCACAACAGGCTGGCTTTGCTGGTCACTGCCCTGGAAGGGGCTGTTCAGTCTTCACAACCAGCCAGAAGCAAAGCCCCAGATGATCCTGGGGAGGGTAGGTGGAGGGGGGGAGTGTAAAGGAAGGATCTGTGGAAACAAAGTGAGAGATTCTCCCCTACCAGAGGTATTTCTACAACAATAAGAATATTTTTAAGGGAGCAGGCTAATTTGAATCAATCTGACAAATTATGTATACTATAGTCTTAGATCTTAAAGTTTCACTTAGCTCAGACACCTGTCTTGAACTAATATGTAACATGATTTTAAATGATCTAGAATGGACCAGGCTTTGGTGCTCCAGGGTTGAGAAAGTGTTGTGACACAAGCAAAATGTTAACGTGTGGACAGAAAATCATCCTGCCCTTCCCTTTCTGATAGGTGTGTGACATACAGCTTGTCCAATGGATAGTGAACATAAATAACCCCCAAGAGGCTTCCCGTCCTTACCCTTATAGGATACACAACAGCTTCTTTGACTAACTGCTTGGCTGCATCAAGTCCAATAATGTCATTCCACTTTATGTTTGGATTATGGAGATAAATGTCCTGCAATGCACATTTGATCATTTTGTTAAAACTGATGTTGTCCTCTACAGCTGTAATAACTTTGGGAGCAGCAGAATACTTGACTTACAATAGGATATAAAGTGCTGGTGATAAAAACTGTTCATATTTTATACACACACACACACACACACACACACTTTGTAATTTTGGGTTAGTTCGCCAAAGGCATGCCGTGAAAATATTCAATGATTTTCCCTGAAGAAGACATTGATAACACAGTATGGTACTTTTCAGGGAGAAAAAAAAAATATCCTAACAATGGACTCTACCTGTTTTGAGTCAATAGCAAACCATACCGATTTATAACCATAATTAAAGAAGCTACAGAATATGCCTTCAACTTACATTAGGTTTTACTGTGCAACATAGTTCCTAGCCAGTGCCTGGCCTTGTTCTTGTTCCTTGATCTCACAAACACTTTCTTAATCTGTCGCATAAAAGAGATAATGCTCCTCTGAAACCAATTTCTCTTTTTTCCCTAGCGATCATTCCCTACTTCCAGCAGGAGCAATTGCTTCTACAAAATTCAAGGAAGCCAACAACTGGGTGAAACTGCAGTTTTCCCCTCTTATAGTAGAGCCCTGTAGCAACCATCTAGGGTAATCAATTACGGTAGCTTTTACTGATAACTAATTTACAGTTTCCAAACTTCAATTTCACCAGACGCCTCAGAGCAGTCGCTAAGGGGCCTTTCTCAGTAGGAGCTGTTTCAGGCAAACTGAATATCTAGAGTGTTTCATCAAAAAAGCCCGAAAAACCTTCTTTCCAAAGTCGTTCTGAGTGACTACAGAAAAAATCTGAATCTATTCTTATATTTATGTAATTTTTAATAAGTAATATGTGCTCATGGTCCAAAAATACAAATACATTTTTTAAATGCTGGTGAGATGTTTGTGCCTACTCCGGCTCTCCACCCATCCAGTTCCCTCCACCATAGGAAGTTCATTTTTATTTTTAATTTTTCTTCAAACAGGGTCTCGTTCTGTAGCCCAGGCTGGAGGGCAGTGGCATGATCACCACTCACTGCAGCCTCAACCTACCGGGCTCAAGTAATCCTCCCACCTCAGCCTCAACACAACAGCTTCTTTGACTAACTGCTTGGCTGCATCAAGTCCAATAATGTCATTCCACTTTATGTTTGGATTATGGAGATAATCCAAACTTCCACTTTTTCCCTTAGCGATTTCCTATCTTCTTTACTAACACTTTCCCCACCCCTCCCTCCTTCATGTTCTCAAAGTGCACCTTGCCCCTGGGATGAGAAACTCTTGAGGGCAAGGACTAGTGATCCTTCTGCCTCGGCCTCCCGAAGTGTTACAGGAGATTACAGGTGTGAGCCACCGCACCCAGCCAACTTTCACTTTTATTAGAGAAATTTCTTGTTTGTTTGTTTGTTTGTTTTTTCTGAGATGGATTCTCGCTCTGTCATCCAGGCTACAGTGCAGCAACCTCTGCCTCCCAGGTTCAAGCAATTCTCATGCCTCAGCCTCCCAGGTAGCTAGGACTACCAGCAAGCGCCACCATGCCCAGCTAATGTTCTGTATTTTCAGCAGAGATGGGTTTTTGCCATGTTGGCCAGGCTGGTCTCAAACTCCTGACCTCAAGTGATCTACCTGCCTCAGTCTCCCAAAGTGCTAGGATTATAGGTGCCAGCTACTGCACCTTGTCTAGAGAAAGTATTTATACAAGTGCTTTGGTCATGCATGATATATATAATCCATTATTGGATGGAATGATAGTGAAAGGACTCAGTCTTCCTTACTCTGCCTTTAGAGCCTGGATCTACATGCAGATCCACCAGCCATTCACATTCTTATTACCGTCCTTTCTTAGGGAAATCTTGGAACACAAGGAAAATTCAGTTACCTAGGTATTCAAGGCATCCATAGATAACAGCAATATTTCTTGCCCTCTTCTAGAGTTGAGTTCCACAAGGTAATGTTTAATTTCCCAACTGACAGTTTCTCCTTATATCAATCCAAAGTTATCAGTCAGAATTCAACAGGACTACCTCATGAGGTGGTGAGCTCTCTATCACTGTAAGCATTCAGGCAGGAGCAGGGTTTCTACCTCCCATGCTACTATAGAAAGGATTCCAGATGGAATCATCTCAGGCCACTTCCACTCTATAGTTCTATCCTCATAGTCATGTTAGCCTTTTGCAAAAATGGTAATGAGACTACTAATTTAGGGTTATTGCAGCCTGGCTTAGTCCCTCATCCCCTCTCACTGGTAAAAACCTCATAGATGGTCACCCCATCTCCTTTTCTTTGCTATTCATTTACCTCCCTGTCATAGAACAAGCCATCCACAAGCACATGGGATGATCCCATCCTCTGATGGATGCCTTTCTAACGTCCCCTCTTCTATAGGCGTGTTTTCAGCCCTGGGTACTGCTCACCGTACCCTTCCTCAGGAGCCCTGCCTCTCTCTACCGGTTCCCCACCACTCCCTGCTTCTTAGGTGGCCCATGGGAAATGTGCACAACCTGCAATTTCTCATGGATGTGCCTATGCCCAGAATAGCTCCTAGCCTCCCTCTTTCACTTTTTCCCTTAGCGATTTCCTATCTTCTTTCCTAACACTTTCCCCACCCCTCCCTCCTTCATGCTCTCAAAGTGCACCTTGCCGCTGGGACGAGAAACTCGTGAGGGCAAGGACTGTGCTCTGACTCATTCACCTTTGTGTCTCCAGCCCGCAGCACATACCTGACACATAAGAGGCGTACAGGAAACAACTGCTGAGCTGAACAGAGACAGCTCAGGAGCCCTTAGCTTTTCAGAGGAGCTGTGAATTTTTGGGATCATTTTAAACACCCCTCTGAGCCTGCCTAGGTTTCAGTCTTCAATTAAATATGAAGCATTACAAATTAGAAAAATATCCTGTAACTCAGGGGTCTATTTTATTTTCTAGGAACTTGCCCAACGTCACACAGCTAGCAAGAGAAGGATCTAGAAATCAAAGGCAGGTCGGTTAATTCCAAAGCCTATTCTTCCTGCCTTCTGGTTCCATAGTGCAAGCTGGAAAAGTCCGTAGTCTGGATGGTAAAGTCTTTCCTGCTAATTGTGTTTTTCATGGAGATTTTCAATGATAATATCATCAGACTTCCGACATCTCTATTTCTAGGCTCTGACTTTTTAAACCAGATGCAGACATACTTTTTTCTTCTTTAAGAGGCTTTCTTTCCTTGACTCTTGGCTCTGCTATTAAACCTTTCACCTGTCCCTTCATTCCTAAGTCTTTTCTCTCTCGGTTTTCTTGGCCTCTATCATGAGATGGTGGGCTTTTTATATTGTAATTTTATGATTCTATAATTTATTTATCATGCATTATTGTGCCTCTAAACAATATGAGTGCCTTCGCAAGTGGGGGCACTTTATAAATAAATTATCATAGTTATTGTTATTAATAAAAGAAGCAGCCCACAAAGCTCCACAAGCCCCAGCCCGCCTCCATAAATTTGTGAATTGAATATCAGATCTTACCCGGCTCACCACCGCTGCCAATTCTCGCATCTCACTGTTCATGCCAATAAATGCACTCAGAGGTTTCAGCAGTCGTTCCTGATGAGAGGAGTGGAAAGGCTCACATTACAATATTGCTTCATAATTTAGGAAGAAACCCTGGGCACGCACAGGTCTTGGTGAAACAAACGATGGCAGGTGGCTACGGCCTTTGACTTGATCTCAAGGTTTCACTGTACTCAAAATTATATTTCCAGAGTTCATCTGGATGTTGGCAATTTGAAAGATGAATGTCACATCTTCGCCACTTACTGAGGGGTCTGGATTATGGTCGAAGGTGTTCAAGGCAAGTTCACTGGTCGCTCCCTTGATGGCATCTGTGAGCAGCCCTCGGAAGTCAATGATTTGGCCCTGAAAGGGAGGAAAGGTTATTTATGCCATGAGAGCATAAGAGAAGACTCTTCTTAATAACTCAGTTTCATTAAACCAAGACACATTTATATACCCTGGTATTAGGGCAAACTTCAAGTGAAACTTTAAAAAGAACCAGCACTAGTATTAAACATGATGATTTCCTCAAGTTGGAGCACCTTAAAAAATTGTAAGTACATTTTCCAGAATGAAGTGGATTTGAATAAAAATTCATGAGTATTTCTCAGTTCCTGACACACACCATCTGCTTCCTTCCTTATGTGTTAACTTCCCCTGTATGGTCTTATCCTATTAAAATATTACACACACAGAAACAACTCATTGGCACAACAGTAATGAGAGTTCCTGTCTATGAATTGTGACACACGTTCACCACTCAATAGAGTGCTGTACAAAATAAGTGTGCAAGGTTCTTTGTGAGAACTATTTCTTTTTTGTTATTTTTGTATATAATTTGTATAAATTTATTGGCTATAAGTGGAATTAATTTAATTTCCACCAACAATGTACGAGTTCCCTTTTCTCCATATCCTGTGAGGATTATTTCTAATCCTTTTTTTTTTTTTTCCTTTAAGAGACAGACAGGATCTCACTCCATCATGCAGTGGCATAATCAGAGCTCACTGCAGCCTTAAACTTCTGGGCTCAAGGGATCCTCCCACCTCAGCCTCCCAAAGAGCTGGGACTACAGGTGTGCACCACTACTCTTGGCTAATTTTTAATTATTACTATTACTTTTTTTTTGTAAAAATGGGGTCCTGTTATGTTGCCCAGGCTGGTTTCCAACTCCTGACCTCAAGTTATCCTCCCACCTTAGCCTCCCAAAGGGCTGGGATTACAGGTGTGAGCCAGCATACCCAGCCTATTTCTAATTCTTATAACACTTCTGTTAGTCAGGAGTGACATCCTGGCTTCATAGATGTGAGAGTAAGTCCAGAGAGGTTAAGTGATTTGCCCAGAGCCACAGCGCTAATAAATGGCTTAAGGCCAGGATTTAAACTCACTTAATCTGTCTCCCAACCCACGATCCTTCCAATATCACCTTGTCCCCCCTAGAGCTAGGAAGGAAAAAGCAAGGATGCACCAAAAAATAAAACAATAATAGTAGTTAACATTTATGGAGTGTTTATTATGTGCTAGGCACTGTGCCAAGTCTCTCCTTTCATCATGAGACTTACAGTGGGCACTGCGATTATTTCCATCTTACAGCTGAGAGAAATGAGGCTTGGAGAGATTATAAAACAATTTGCCCAAAGTTACACAGTGAGGGAGCATCTGAGCCGGGTTTTGAATCTAGACAGGCTGACTCTGAAGCTTATGCCCTCAAGAACAACATACCTACTAAATTTGTAGGGAGAGTGTCCTAAAGCTTGGATTCTGATATAGTAAGGATGTGTGTCCCCTCCAAATCTCATATTGAAATGTGATCCCCAGTGTTGGAGGTGGGCCTGGTGGGAGGTGTTTGGGTCATTGGGGAGGAACTCTCATGAAAGGCTTGGTGCTCTAACCACTGTAACTAGTGAGTTCTCGTTCTATTAGTTCACGAGGGACCTGGTTATTTAAAAGAGCCGTTCATCTCCCTCCCGTCTTGTTCCCTCTCTTGCCATGTGACATGCCAGGTCCCCTTGCCTTCCGCCATGAGTAAAAGCTTCTTGAGGCCTCACCAGAAGCTGAGCAGATCCCAGTGCCGAATAGAACTATGAGTCAAATAAATCTCTCTTCTTTATAAACTACTCAGCCTCAGGTATTCCTTTTTTTTTTTTTTTTTTTTTTTTTTTTTTTTTTGAGACGGAGTCTCGCTCTGTCGCCCAGGCTGGAGGCTGGAGTGCAGTGGCGCGATCTCGGCTCACTGCAAGCTCCGCCTCCCGGGTTCACGCCATTCTCCTGCCTCAGCCTCCCGAGTAGCTGGGACTACAGGCGCCCACAACAGCGCCCGGCTAATTTTTTGTATTTTTAGTAGAGACGGGGTTTCACCGTGGTCTCGATCTCCTGACCTTGTGATCCGCCCGCCTCGGCCTCCCAAAGTGCTGGGATTACAGGCGTGAGCCACCGCGCCCGGCCAGGTATTCCTTTACAGCAATGCAAAACAGACAAACACAGGTACTAACATGGAAATGACAGACCTGGGGTTTTCTGAGATTGGCCCCAGGCCATATACCCTCAGGCAACCTATGGACATATGAAATGCTAGGGAGAAAGCCATCTACATTGTGCCCTGAGGACATTTCTGCTGGTAAGAGGATTTATAGTCAGACTACTTCAAAGGTTAAGTGCTGGGTTAAATGGTCCCTTCCTTGTGAGCCAATCAAAAACATCCATTCATTTCAATGTTGCCACAAAATAGCTAGGCAAAGTGACTGAAAACACAACAGAAGCAGTGAAGGTGAACAAGGAGACATTTTTCCAAGGGAGGCGTTGATTCCCATGATATCATCTCCAGCAATTACCATGTAAGTTAGGCCCTTACAGGGAGTCAGTTCAGGCCAGTGAGGTCACTGCCCTTCATTTTCAGGGAGATGCTCCAGCCACCCCTCTAAATTCACACACAGAGTTCAGTTTTTCTAAGAGCTAGCCGGAACTAAGTCAGCACTCCAGAGGTTTGAGCACTTGGCTGAAGAAAGAAAGAAGAAGCTTAAAGAACTACAACCTTGGAGAGTATGACCAAGAGCAATATGGTGCTGTTCATTTCCCAATTACATATTTTAATCTACCTTTTGACTACATCCACCCAATCTGGGTCTTTTCTGCTTAAGACATTATTATTTAAAATCCAGACATGAGATTCATTATGAAAAAGGTAGAAATATCTATCAAGGACAAAATCAACCCTATATCAACTGAGGTTTCATAGTCCACATGAAATTACGTTTAGATCAGAAGCCATCCCTCCAAGGAGAAAGATGCCACCACTAATCGAATGCCACGGACAGGGCAGAGCAGAATGAGTATGCGTTTCCAACTCACTAAATAACGCAGATGTCTTAGCGCTTTGGGAGGTCCAGACAGGAGGATTGCTTGAGGCTAGAAGTTTGAAACCAGCCTGGGTAACATAATGAGACCCCATCTCTAGACGAATTAAAAAAATTAGCTAGATGTTGTGGTGTATGCCTGTAGTACTAGCTACTTGGGAGGCTGAGGCAAGAGGATTCGTTGAGCCCAGGAGTTCTAGGCTGCAGTAAGCCATGATTGCACCATTGCACTCCAGCCTGGGTGACAGAGCAAGCCTTGTCTCTTAAAATAAATAAATGATAAGAACGACGCAGGAGGATCATGCCAATGTTTGTCATTGTTATTACAGAATTTTTAAGCTGATGGGAACACTAAAGACAATCTCTTCCGAGCCCCTCAATTTACAAATGTGGAAACTGAGTTCCTTAGAGATGGGGCAGTTCATGCCAGCCCATTCATTCAGAAAGGAGATTCCAAAGAAGAACCCATTTTCTGACCCTCTTCTCCATTTACCTCACAACCAACCTTCAAAAATCACATCTTAACTTTCCTGTTTGACAAAAATAATGTTTTTTTGTTTTCATGTTTAAAAGGAAAAAGAAATTACCCCTTTCAGTGTTAGGTTCGTGAGTTTCACTTACTCTTCGTGGGTGGGCATTTTCCTCTCCACTGTCTTTACCAATTCTTGATATATTTAGGCCGAAGTTGGCACTCTCCAGGCGAGTGTTATTAACTACCTCCTGAAGAAAGAGAGACAAGGACACATTGGCTGTGAGCAGCCATGGAGAGATGCTGGCTGTACCTGCCTACTCCATTATGCAAAGTCCAATGCTGGAGAGCAATTCTGTAAATGCGACGTGCACATGTAGTTTAGCCACTTTTGTGCAGACCCAGGAAGATGAGTTAGCTGTCTGCCTGCACTATGTGGAAGGAGTTGTCCCTGGAAAACCGAGAAGATGCCAGGCCATGGGCCCTGAGCAGCTTTTCCAAATGGAGGAAACAGTTGTGCCTCAACCCATCCCCTTTTGCTGGCTCGTCTTTTCTCCTGTGATCAGGGGTGTTTTTGGCCAGGAGTGACTGAGTTTGGAGATACAGCAGAGTCAACCAGCCTCCCATGGGACTCATCCTGCCCCATCTTCACCTCTCTTCCACCTGAATCAGGCTGTAGCGGCCAGAACTGTAGAGAGGGGGAGAGAATCCTTTTGACCAATCAGGTATTGTGATTATTCCTTTCCATTATTTGACATTAATTTTTTTAATTCCTTTTCTCAGTTTCCATTGGTCCTCTTTCCTTTGAAACCTGGGATGTTTTGTTCTAACTAAGAAGGTTCTGGACATGAGTCTCGTGAGTCAGGAGCCATTTACTTCACTCACTTGCTGGGTTCTCTCCTTGCTGCCCTTCTTGGCCCCCAGAAAGTCCAGGGTGAAGGTCTGGGGTGAGGGCTGACCATGTGCGATTTGGAGAAGTCCAGTAGGAGACCTTCAGACCCAGCCACACCTGAAGTGTAGCGTAGGCTATGCCTGGCCTACACTTAGGAACCCAGCAATGTGCTCTGGGACAAGAAGATCTGCCATCTTGGTTAGCTCAGTTACCTCAGGTAACAGTAACCTCAGATGGGCAGATCACGCTCCACAGTAACCAGGCCCTCCTGCTCTGACTGGGCCCTGGCCCCACCCTGGCCCATCGCCCAGCACCCAGATCAGGGGAAAGACTTGGAGGAGAAAAAAGTCTCCTGCCCATGTTCAGAAACATTAGGAAATCCAGGGATTTGTCCATGGTTTGAGTCCAGTGTACTGGAAGAAAACCTACAATTCAATTAGATCACACAGCAATTTTAAAAGCGTAGGTCCTCAAAAAATAAATAAATGTGACTTTTTTCGTAGGGCTATTTTTCAGCCAAGTGTGCTATTCACAAAGTCAAGCCAAGCCATCCTGACCTGATTAGGATGCTCCTTATTGAGAGATTTGGTGTCCCCTGTCTTCCCCACCGTGGTTTTGGACCGGGGCCTCTGCTGATTGATCTTGGGAAGATTTTGGCAACTGTCGTTCATCACCCTAAGGAAGGGAACAAAGACCTTGGAAGAAATTATTCTAGCCACTTAATTTGAGGTAGTTAAACACCTATTCTTAAGAATAGCACATTTAAGAAAGCTATTGAAAGATATGCAGGTGGCCACTATAGGGCCCTTCCACCTATGCGATCCACCCACTAGGTTCATCCTGGCCCTAACTCCCTCCAGGCTACTCATGGGGTTCTTCTAAGATCCCCTCCTGGAGCCCCCCAACTCACCCTCTTCATTTCCCTTTCACACCACATAGCTTCGGCCCTTCTGCAAATAGCTTTAGTTCTTAAGAACACATTGCTTTACAAGTATTTTTCCGTTGTTCCTTCTACCTTCCTTAAAAGCAGCATTAGACCAGGAGAAAGGTGTGTGGGAGAAAGGTGTGTGAGAGAAAGGAGTCCTCCCATTCAAACTAAGAAACAGTAGGAAATTCAGGGATTGGCCCATGGTTTTAATCCAGTGCCCTGGATGTACCCTGTCTACTTAAAATACATCTCAGCATGTTATGAGTAATATACATCAAAAGGGGATTATGGAAGGAAAACAAACTTCCTCTCATCAATGTTGTCCCAGACCAATCATATTTACCAAACAAATTTTCATCAACAATTGTTTACTTCAGACAAAACAAACTGATGGGGCTGGAAGTCAGAAGAGTAGCTAACTCTGATGGAGATGGGGAGAATTTGACTGAGAAGGGGCAAAGGTAGACTGCCGGTGGCTGTAACTGTGGTTACAAGAGTATATGCATTTACTGTATACATAGTTATATATGTAGTATGACTGTATATATGTTATATAACCATAGAAAGATCAAATCACTTTTTTCACTACATTCGTATAATTAGATATAAAATTCAGTATTTGAATATCCATATGTTTCTGTAGAAGATGCCACCAGAGAGAGACAGGACTAGCTTTGGGGGCAGAATATGAACTCCCACATTGTTTCTTAGTTCTCCTAGCCCTTTTGTCGCTATATGTGAGATGCCATTTGCAGAAGGTTCGTTAGAAGCAAGTCTCTCCGTGTTCCGAATGATCTCAGAGAGCTGCTATTTCAACTTCCTTTCTTTATGGGGATAATAAATGTTCGTGTCTAATATAAATGCACAGCTATTTAGCCAGTAAGACCACCCATGTCGACAATACCACCAATGTCCACATGGTGACACATCTGTGAGTGTTGGTCTCACTGGGGAGAGCATCATGAGAGGTGGACACTAACAGTTCTTGGGGGTTCTTTTTCTATCTTTAAACTAGGAATAAGAATGTCTTTCTCCGCCCTTTTGCTGGCACAAAAATGAAATAACTATGAAATGAAAACCAAGCATTTCACAAATGCAAACTTATATTAATAGTATTGACTTAAGAGAAGTTATTTATATGTGTGTGTGGAAGTGTATGTGTGTGTTTATGTGTTTGTGTGTGTGTGTGTCTGTATTTAAACTTGCCTCCCCATCCTTGTGGAGCTGGCAGGAAACAGGGACTCTATTTTCCCACTTTGATTTCCCATTGGATGCAACTGATCCCCAAGGTCTGCTTTAACACGACCAAAATACAAGAGCTCTAATGTATAAAGCAATGCAATTCATTTTCAATCGGCTCTGAGGATTGTAAAATTCCTCTGAACATGGAAACAAATTCACTCTGCTTTGACTTTAACCATTAGTCCTAGGTGCACCCTGTGGAATTTGGCAGAAAAGGCCCAATTGCCCTTTGGAGGGTGAACTGAAGCCTGTTCCTGCAGTGTTCTAAGGAGCCCCCCTCCACCAACCCTCTGTTCAAGCTCAACATCTCCAGTTGCTCCAGTCATTCCTAAAGTTACCTGGCTCCCAGATTCTTCCTCAAACTGGTCACCTTCCAGAATAGTGTGACCTCCTACTTTTTGGACATTGTATTTCTATTGATGGGGCTGGGACCATAGTAGCACTCGTGTCTCACTGTTGGCCCAGGTAAACTGAGATTTCCAGCTCTCTGATTTTATAATGGAGGAGCTATTTGTTGTAATTCTTGTTAGAGCTTAAACCTTATTTTATTAAATTTCATCTTGTTACTTTGAACCCATCTCCAGAATTGCCAAGACCTTTTGGGATCCCAGTTCTGTCATCCATCACATTAGATAACCTTTCCTCCTTTGGTTCATCAGCAAGTCTTTAAGCGGGGATTATAAATCTTTTCCAAGATTAGAAAAAGACACTTTGATTTGCTAATAGCCAGTCTCATGACATGTCTCACTTCAGTAACTATATTTGAGTATAAAATTGTCCACAGAAACATCATTCATTATTTTCCTAGTTATTCCTCCTGATTCTAACCATTTGCTATTCAATCTTTATACTTGCCACATACAAACATCTACTCAGAGAGGAGCTGAGGAGCCCCCACGCTGTCAAATGGGCCACCGTGCTCCATCCCTAAAGGGAACAAAGCACTCTGACACCATTCACTCACAAAGCATTTGCCAGGGAAGAATGCTGAGAAGGTTCCAGAAAGATAATCAGAATCCAAAAGCCTTCTGAAGCTGGCCACAAATGCTCCTCATGATTTCTATGCATAAGCAGTTACCATGTATTACCAGCGTCTGACTAGCTTTGTGGAAACTATAAATAAAAGAATAACACTTTTGTCAAAGCAATAAAACTCCTCCAACAGAATAGCACAAAGCAAAGGTACCCCGAGGCCGATTATTACGACGAGTCGGATCGTGGAGCATGCGTGGGCTCCACGGCCATTTTTGTAAGCTGTGCCCACCAGCCCTGTGAGGTGTCCTAGGCCTTTCTTTCTGAGGCTGGAACAAGGGAACTGGAGTCGCAGGGGCAGGGAATGTAGCAGGGGCATAACAGAATCCATACCTCTTGAGGGCCTAATAAGTTGCATGTGATTACAATCTAACTTTTCTTTTTCCAAGAGCATTTTAAGATTTTACACACTTTGTTCACTGCCTGGATGGCTGCATCTTCCCATGACGTTTTGGCTCTACTGTAATAGCAACAGCCCACAGGTTGTGATGCCCCACAGCTGGCCCTCACTGGCACCTGGCAGCAGCACCCTTGATCTCCTGGGTATTTCTGAACAGCCCTGACAGTGGAGGGGTCTGTGGGAGTGGGGAGAGAGGAATGGGAAGGACACTGGCAAGAGTAGGGGGCCTTGTGAGAGAAAGTGTGTACCCAGAAAGGTCCAGAGACAGAGGGGCTCCCATCAGAGGCTACAAGTCCCAGATGAGATTTGGACTTGAGAAGCTGGAGAAAGGAGTGCAAGATGAGCTGTGAACAGGGGGGAAAAGCAAGAGAAGAATGGGTTCCCGCAGGCCAGGACTGGCGAAGGCAGAAGTGTAAGGCACCTCCTGGCTCATTGTTGATCTTCAGACAGGTGAGGACATCTGATCTGGGAGTGCTTGAAATTGACTAAATGATGAAAAGAGGGAAAATAATATTTCTTGGGTGCTCACTGTGTGCCAGGAACTCACTCTGTGTCCGAGACTTGCTCCATGCTTGTAAATAGCAGAGCCAGGAGTTGAACATAGGTCTTTTAACCTCTGAGGTTCAGACTTTTCATATCACATGGCCTGGAAAGACAGAGCATCATGGGATGCACTTATTTACAGTAAAACCAGGAGAGTAGACAGACATTGGCCCAAATCTGGAGCAGCCGTAATGAGAGAAGTCCTGGGCTGGGCCAGGTCACGTGACTGCAGTCAGTATTGCTGGGAGACAGTCACGGAGCTGTGCTGGCAAAGCTTCTGGAAAGGGATCCCACAAGCTCCTCGAGCCGAGTTGATTAAAATGAATTACCATTCACTTTACCTTCTGGTCTTCCCTCCACTTCTTTGTGGTAAATTATTTTCTGCTGTGACAAAACAGACATTGGGTGGGAAAGAAAATAATTTTAAGAGTGACAAAGTGATTTTTTCAGGTATGTTTCCCCTTTTTGCATTGTTCTTAAAATCTGTGCTATAACCTTTTGGAATCTAGAGACTTTAAGCTATTCTCATCTAGAGAGAACTGAAATTACCAGCGAAGAGAAAGGGGCCCGAGCTTCTCCAGCATCTCCTCACAGAGAAAGATTGCAAAGGGCTCAGATATTAAACGTGTCAGAGATTATGGACCTGGTGGCAACTCCAATATAGGCTAGCTTTACAACTACCATTTTGTTATGCTTTCATGAACTTGACACCATTTTGCTGTGTTACATGGGACACCAGGTTGATTGCACGAATCTGGCAGGGAAGACTTAAGTCATGCTCTGCAAGTTAAAATAAAAACAATGTGTCCAATATCATAGGAGAATTTGGGTATCATGCTATATGGGAACTAGCCAACTGGAAGTGAGATCATGTCCCTAACAGTGCTGATCACCCTGTAGTTAGGAGTCTGAGCTGTCTCTTCAAGACCCATATCTAACCACCTGCCAAGGAAGTCAAGCTCTGAATGCTGCATTGGAAGGGAGCTCAGATAAAATACCTCTTCGACCTTTTCTAGCTCTGAGATCTGGCCCTGGCTATTTTAAACTGATGTTCCTCTTGGTTTCCCGGTCCCTACATGAAATGTTAAAGTCTGTGGCTTAACAAGTGCCTTGTAAACAGGACAATGATCTCCCTTGGTTTATAATTACTTCCCCCACTTACAGACTTCTCAGTCAATGTTACTACAAAGCACAGGGCCCCCACTTTAGATCTTTCCTCCAGCCAGCCTCGTTGACGGCTAACCTATACTGGGTTTTTGTATTATATTGATCATTATCTGGATTGATGGCTTTCAAAAGCTTTTCATTATCTATACATGAGCTATTAGCTTCCCCAATATTCATTTTCGTAGTTATTTTCAAGACAGATAATAGGTCTCCTAACAACAAAAAAAGTCTTCTGTCATTTTTCCTCTTCCAACAGCTCTTTTCATCTCTAAAGAAATTAAAGTAATGTTAATCATCTGAAAAGTACCTATGATACACTGGGGTTTTGCTTTCATTGCCTGAAAACACATTTTCTCAAACAAATGCCAACATGACTAAAGGGATGTCAATGTCCAGATAATCATATTTCAGTTGTCCGTGCTGGACATGAGAATGGCTACACAATCCTCCTGGCCTACTCTTTTGGTTCAAGGTGAGGGTCTCCATCTATCTGGGAATATGATGAGAAAGATACCCTCATTTTACAGATGAGATAAAGCCTTATCTCTAGAAAATAGCCATGTACCTGTGTCTGATGACTTTTTGACAATTTTGGGGTATTTCTGAAATTTTACAAAATAATAACTCTCATATTCCATCAAAATAGTTTCAAGATCAATGTTGTCACAAACTTCAAAGCGTCGTAACCCCAGTTTAGTTTCTTGCTCCAAAGCATTTGCTGTATCGATATATCTGGCAGTTTCACAGAAGAAAAAGAAGAAATTAACTCAGATGAAAAGAATAATGGCTAACAGGCATTACAAGTCTAAAGGGATGCAATACAAAAAGTAAGCCTATATACAGCACATTAGATGAAAACTAGTATGTGCATAGGAGGTTTGCCTATACAGAGCCCCATATTTGTTAAGTATATTTAACTATTATCTTTCAAAGCAGTTGCCTTTGAAAGTTACATTATTGTTCTGGTGATGTTACCATTGTTCAGGATGTTTTTGGAAGTGCTTAAAAGTCAAATAAGTAAATCAACCAAGAAATATCTTGCTATTTGTCTTTACTCATTTGCAGCCTAAAATGGGTATTTGCCCAAACTTGGTTACCTCTCTATTCACAGGTATTCATTTTAGGTAACATTTGGCAAAATGATAAAACCCAAATTCAACCCAAATTTGCCATCATTGAAGTAATTCAAATGAACAGGTCTTGAGCACTGAAGGAAATTCCAAAGATCTACCAATCCAGATCATCAAAGAACTTTCATTTAAGATAACATCCACTTTGAATGTATGATTTGTTTCTGGTAATTTTTTAATCAGTCACACATTGCACTTCAGGGTGTTTCTGTATAAAAGTAGCACCTTGACCTTGGTTCCTCACTGTCATTTTTCACTTGTTCAGTTGTAAAACTGTCCAATTTAAGTGGCCTTAGCACTAGAAGCAAGGGCTCTGTCTCAAAATCCTCTGAAAGAAGAAAGACTCTGCAGGTCTTAAATTTTAGTTCTTAACTTCTTTTAAAACCAACAATTTTCTCCTGAAAAGTGTGCACATGTGCAAATTAGCATATAATTTCAGGAGCTCATCCAAGGACCCCAGATTCAGCTCATCCAAGGACCCCAGATTCAGATTTCTGCTGCAGGTTGGAGTTCTTTCTGTTTCATTTGAATCTAGATCCAGGAAAGTAGAAAGAGAAAACTTTCTTTTTTATTAGCCCTCCTCTCTCTCTCTGTCTCTCTCTCTCTCTCTCTCTTTCTTTCAGACGAGATCTCCTTATGTTGCCCAGGCTGGTCTCAAATGCCTGGCCTCAAGCGATTCCCTTCTTGGCCTCCCAAAGTGTTGGGATTACAGGTGTGAGCCATTATGCCTAGACTGAACTTTCTTGAAAGAGGTTGCCATGATTATTTTCAATGACCTTGAAATGTATGTATCTCTCCTAAGCTAATTTTAAAGAAGTTGCAAACCACAGTCAGTTGACTCTAGTCAATCAGTTTCTATACTTTTTCATGTCTCACTATGCTTCTATACCATGTCTTAATCCTCATTTGACAGAGAGAAAAACTAAATCAGTTTTTTATTAATAACTTTAGTATGGAGTAATACATATTCACTTAACAAAAAACAAGAAAATACTGGTAAATCAAAAGAAAGTTCTGCCCCTCAGAGAAAATGACTAACATTTCCTCTGTTTTTACAAACTTTTTTTTAACTTTTTTTTTTTCTTTTTAGAGACAGGGCCTTGCTCTGTCACCTAAGCTGGAGTGCAGTGGCACAATCTTGGCTCACTGCAGCCTGGAACTCCTGGACTCAAGTAATCCTCCCACCTCAGCCTTTCGAGTACCTTGGACTACAGGTGTGCACTGCCACGCCCAGCTATTTATTTTATTTTATTTTATTTTATTGTAGAGACAGGATCTTGCCATACTGCCCAGGCTGGTCTCGAACTTCTGGTCTCAAGTGATTCTCCCTCTTGGCCTCCCAAAGTGCTGGGATTACAGACTTGAGCCACTACACCTGGCCCAAACTTTTAAAACAACGAAATACATACATATACTTATACATATGCACTTCTAAAACAAAAACAAAAAGAGAGAAAGGGAGATAAAGGAAGGATGGAAGGAAAGAAGATGGAAGATGGAAACATGCACTACAGATGGCTTGTAACCTTTACTGACATAACATTAGATTCTGAACTCTTCCAAGATCATAGAGTCTTAGCTTGAACAAAAATTACAAGAATAAATGATGGCAGGCCCCATGTTTCCTAAACTAATTGGTCAGAAGAACAAAACTGCCTGTGTTTTCCTGTTGCACTGAGCTTGAATGAAGTTTGAATTTGACGTGGTTGGAAGGAGGAGCCGCTAGAGATTCTTAACCAACAGAATGACAGGACGGGACTTTAAGAAGAGTAGTGTTCAGCAAGTAGTGTGCAATACTGGGCCGTAATAACAAGACACAAGAGAGAGATGGTGAGGCTACTAATATTACCTAAGCCCGAGAAGATGGATATGGAGGACTATTAGTAGAAGAACCAGAATCCATGACCCTCCATTGTCTGCTGTCACCAATTCTCACTCACGCATTCAAACTCTGGTCTTCCTGTTTACTTAATTGTTCCACTTAGGCTGTGCCCCTTCGTCCTCTGTGCCTCTGCCAGGAATGGCCTTACCATCACATCAGTCTATTCATATTCTATACATCTTTTAAGTCCAGCTCACACCACCCTCTCTACAAATCTTTCCCTGATTGTTTATTTTAATCCACAGTAATCTATCCTCTTTGCTGAATTTGTAGAACTTCATTAGATCTCTTTTACTGATGCTTATATGTCCTTAAAATTATCTATAGTTCATTTTCATTTTGATAATCCACTCATTTGTCCCTTTTCCAGCAGGTTTCGGGAAAATGATCAGTTCTGGTAGAACTTTCGTTGATTCCAGATACAAAGAGCCACCTCGTGGCAGAAAGGAAAAATGCACGCTTTGTAAGCAGCAAACTCGGCCTTAACAACTACATCTGACTTTTATTTTTGTCTTTTTGTTTTTACAGTTCTTCTTTCTGATACAATTTGTGGAACAAAAAATACATTGTAAGAAAAAATCAGGGATTATTTGTGAAAATGGCTTTGTCTTGGTTTCTAATTATTCTACCCATCTACATTCTAGTAAGTTCCTCAATAGCTATGCAAGTAACATTTACTGAGATTCTGTTACTATGTTCACAGTGCTGGGGCCTGGCATCTTGAGTTTAAGTTTTATAAGAGTCAGCTAATCTCGGAAGATAGCATTCTCAAAGTTATCTGTGGAAAACCAGTCTCTAAAGATGATCTGAGGGAAAAAAAAAAAGAGTTTCTTAGGCCAGGCATAGTGATTCACTCCAGTAATCTCAGCACTCTAGAAGCCAAGGCAGGTGGATCAATTGAGCCCAGGAGTTCCAGACCAGCCTGGGCAATATGGCTAAATCTCATCTCTACCAAAAAAATGAAACAAAACAACAAAACAAAAAGTAGCCATGGTGGTGCGCACCTGCAGTCGAGCTAATTGGGAGGCTGAGGTGGGAGGATTGCGTGAGACCACAAGTTCAAGACCAGCTGTCTACATAGCAAGATTCCATCTCTACCATAAATAAATAAATAAACTGAGTGTGGTGGCACACACCTGTAGTTTCAGCTACACAGGAGGTTGAAGTGAGAGGATCACTTGAACCCAGGAATTTGAGGCTGCAGTGAGCCATGACTGGGCAACTGTACTTCAGCCTGGATGATAAGCGAGACTCTGTCTTCAAAACAACCACCACCACCACCACCACCACCACCACCACAATAAGAAAACCCCAGAAAAACCTTGGCCAAATTGGTTTGCAAAACCTTGAATACTGTGACTTTATTATGATATTCTCATTGCACATAGTAAATTAGATGGTCTGAGAAGTCCTGAAATAAGGGACCTTGTTTAGTTTAACCCAATATCTGCCAAGCGTACCTGACCACGAAACTCTTTCACATCTATTACCATTCTGTATAACTACCCTTTCAAGTGTTTCACACACTTAGAAAAGCACCTTGAAGTATTTTAACTCAGGGTTCTTTGGATAGAGCTGAGATTCCATCAAAAGATGATATAAAATGGGCCAAGCCCACATTCCAGTTTCTTTTTTTTTTTTTTTTTTGAGACGGAGTCTCGCTCTGTCGCCCAGGCTGGGGTGCAGTGGCCGCATCTCAGCTCACTGCAAGCTCCGCCTCCCGGGTTTACGCCATTCTCCTGCCTCAGCCTCCCGAGTAGCTGGGACTACAGGCGCCCGCCACCTCGCCTGGCTAGTTTTTTATATTTTTTTAATAGAGACGGGGTTTCACCGTGTTAGCCAGGATGGTCTCGACTTCCTGACCTCGTGATCCGCCCGTCTCGGCCTCCCAAAGTGCTGGGATTACAGGCTTGAGCCACCGCACCCGGCCTCCAGTTTCTTTAAGTCCTTTGCTGAACCAAGTTGAGTATTAAGAGAATAAAACCCAAATCCTATCAATAATAGAAGTATAAGTGTAATTGTCAGGCATGATTCTAAGCATGTTGCATATTTAATCCTCGTAATAACTGCATCTACCTGATACTTAGCTATACCCCATTACTCCATTTTATAGATGAGGGAACTGAAGCACAAAGAGAATAAGCACAAAGAGAATAAGTAATTTGTCCAAGATCACAGATTAGCAAAGAGAAGAGCAGGCACTTGAAAGAAAATAGTCTGGGCCGGGTGCGGTGGCTCATGCCTGTAATCCCAGCACTTTGGGAGGCCGAGAAGAGAGGATCACGAGGTCAGGAGATCGAGACCATCCTGGCTAACACGGTGAAACCCCGTCTCTACTAAAAATACAAAAAAATTAGCCAGGCGCGGTGGCGGGCGCCTATAGTTCCAGCTACTCGGGAAGCTGAGGCAGGAGAAAGGCCTGAACTCGGGAGGAGGAGCTTACAGTGAGCCAAGATCGCATCACTGCACTCCAGCCTGGGAGACAGAGTAAGACTCCGTCTCAAAAAGAAAAAAAGAAAAGGAAAGAAAAGAGAATAGTCTGGCTCCCAATGGCTCCTAAGTCTATCTGCATATCCTGGAAGCTGTCCCTATGACAACAAGCCCCACAGCTCTGTCATAGATTGGACACTTGGCGCTTTCTCATATGCTACCCTTGGGGTTACTTTTCTTAAGTGCCCGTTGAATAGAGCGGAGCAGCCCACTACCTGCATGCAGACTGTCTGGCTTGTCAATTTCAGGAACACTCTTATAGTCCAGATGGAGAAACAGAGGCACAGAAAAGACCAAAGTCAGCCCTGCCCTGCTCGGGGGCTCAATTCCACCCCACTGCTATATGGAGATACAGAGTATGAGCCTACGTTGAGAAGTGACTGATGGCCTGCCTGCCTGCTAACCATGGGATGGGGGCACTCATTTCTCTAGTCTGAGAGTGGGTGGTGGGGATGTGGGAAGAATGAGCTATTTTCTCAATAAAATATATCTCCCTAACACCAGAAAGAGAAGTGTCTGATAAAATCATGTGTTTCAAGGTGAGTAAGGAAAGTTTTTGTATTAAAGATGTTGCAATTCATTATATTTACCATAAGAAAAAAGTCATTCTCAAAATTCTGATACTAAGTGTGATGAGAAAGGCTACTTTTTGCAATTAAGCAGCTTACATGGTCAGCCAAGGGGAGAAAATAAATCAGATTACTCAGTAACAAAGTTTGTTCAAAGGTACAGTGTTATAATTGACTATCAAGTGCATATATCTAACTTTTTTTGAAAAGTAACCATTTATTAGAACCAATACAAGGGTAGGAAAAGAGGGAAAAGAGGAGGGAGAAGAGGAGGAGACAATGAGGTCTTCATCAGATGTCAGTTATGGAAACACATAAATGCTTACTTTTAAACGTTTACATTTAAAAGGTGAACATATATATAGACCAATTTTACTTTTTAAAAAAAATCAAAAGCAGACATGTTTGGCTGAAATAAAATCAAGAAACACAACCAAAACTCCCCCATAAAACTAAAAGTCCATAGAGAATTCAATTTCTCATTTCCATTCAGAAATCTAGCTACAACGTGATTTGTTTGCTACTCAGGATGGTACGGAGTGCTGAAAGAAACTACCAAATGCATATATCTGAAATTTTGGGGGAAAAAAACGCAAAAAACAAGAACCCCAGATCCTTTAATGACACAAATGATTTTTAAAATGCTTAAGTACAATTGCAGAGATTTCATTTTCTTTAAAAGACTTTAAGGGCACATGTTCTCAGGATCTCTTAAGGGCTGTGTCATCGAAATTAAAAAAAAAAAAAAAAGACCAAAAGATGGTGATTCTAGGTTGCATGTGGTGGCTCACACCTATAATCCCAGCAGTTTAGGAGGCTGAGGTGAATGGATCACCTGAGGTCAGGAGTTTGAGACCAGCCTGGCCGACATGGTGAAGCCACGTCTCTACTAAAATTAATTAGTCGGGCATGGTGGCAGCCGCCTATAATCCCAGCTACTCAGGAGGCTGAGGCAGGAGAATCACTTGAACTTGGGAGGCAGAGGTTGCAGCCAGCTGAGATCATGCCACAGCAGTTCAGCCTGGGCAACAGAGCGAGACTCTGCCTCAAAAAAAAAAAAAAATCATCATTCAAAACAAAAACCTCAAAAAACATAGCCCACCCGCATTATGATTTTTCTGATGTGATCCTCAAGCAAAAGCAATCTTCAACATTGGAGCAAAAAAATAAGGACCTGGAAGGCTTTTGGGTCAGGATAGGCCTGGAAAGTTCTCCCACTTAGACCCAGGTGACCTCCTGACACAATCTTTGACTATTCTAAGCCTGAATTTCTTCAAGTATAAAATAGATACCCCAATATCTACTATAAAATGTGGAGAAAAATTCCTCAAAGTCTCTAAAATGGTCATCCCTTCTAGGGGGCAATAGGTTTATTGAAAGCAGTGGTTGCTGGCATGGGTAAGAGAAACAATGGGAACTCTCAGTTCCTTGTCAACTGCCTCCTGCCCTCCTCACTTTTTTCCTTTGTGCCTCTCCAGGACTAGGGTCACTGGAACCTCAAAACTGACTTTTAGTTCCAGTAGCTCCCTTGTTTAATGGAGGAAAAGATGCTTATCAGACTTTTTGGGAAAATATCAAAAATTGATTGGTTTTTCTTGCTCTAACTCCAGATTTCTCCATCTTGGCGCTGTTGACATTCAACGCCAGATAATTATCTGTCGTAGGGGCTGTCTTGTGCGTCAGATGGCATTTGGCAGTATCCTTGGCCTCTACCCACTAGATGCCAGTGCGACAGCCAAAAAGAACTCTAAGCATTGCCAAGTATCCCCCAAGGGACAAAATCACCCTAATTGAGAACCACTGCTCTAACTCAAAAGTTTTAAAGCCCTAATCTCAGTGACTGGGAGGTTGAGGCAGGAGGATCACTTGAAGCCAGTAGTTCAAGACCAGCCTGAGCACCAGCAAGCTCCTGTCTCTAAAAACAATTTAAATATTAACTGGACATGGTGGCATGTGCCTGTAGTCCCAGCTACTCAGGAGGCTGAGCTGAGAGGATTCCTTGAACCTAGGAGTTAGAGGTTGCAGTGAACTATGATCATGCAGCCCGGGCACCAGAGTGAGACCCCCATCTGTTAAAAAAAAAAAAAAAAAAAAGTTTGTAAGCTCTTAGTCTGAAACCTACATGTTTTCTTCCTGACTGAAATTTGAAAAGAAAAGTGAATATAAAGTAGATAGTGCCCTTCAAACACTTTGTGGAGCAGCTCTCTTCCTCTTATACCATCCAACACTGTAACTGCTTGTGTGTTTTCAATGAGGTAGGTGGCCAAACCCAAAAGTTTTTAAATTTCCTCACCCTGCCAGTTATAGAATGGGTATTGCGAGGAAGAAGAGAGCTGGGCTTAGGTTGTCCAAGTAAATGCAATACCTTTATTTTCAGGAAAGGAAAACTGATTAAGAAAGTTATCTTGTGTACATAGCCAGCAGTGAGACTACAGAAAAACCTCATTTCTGTCCTATCTTCAAATGTGTAGAGGAAAGGAAAAGTACTTTATGTACTGGATAGACCTGTTGAAAAAGTTTTCAATATCTAATGTGAAAAATACCTAAGTAAATGAGGCAATAAAAGCATACGTCTGAGGCCAGAGGCACTGGCTCACACCTGTAATCCCAGAACTTTGGGAGGCTGAGGTGGGCTGATCATTTGAGCTCAGGAATTCGAGACCAGCCTGGAAAACATGGTGAGACCCTGTCTCTACAAAAAATACAAAAATTAGCCAGGCATGATGGTGCACACCAGCAGTCCCAGCTACTGGAGAGGCTGGGAGCAGGGGGATGTGGTTAGAGGCTGCAGTGAGCCATGATTACACTCCAGCCTGGACAACAGAATGAAACCCCATCTCAAAAAAGAAAAAGTGTATGTCTGGGTTGCTGGGGCAGGAGGAGGAATTGGTGGCACATAGGGGATTTTTAGGATGGCGAAACGATTCTGTATGGTACCATATTGGCAGATACATGGCCATTATGCATTTGTCAAAACTCACAGCACAATATAACGCAGAGTATGCCCTAATGTAAACTATGGACTTCAGTTAATAATGTATCGGCCCGTCAACTGTAATAATATACCACATCAATACAGATGTCACTGGGAGGGGAAACTGGAAAAGGGAAGGGGTGTACGGAACCCTGTACTTTCTGCTTGATTTTTTGTAAATATAGAACTGCTCAAAACAAGAAAGTGTATTGTATTTAAAAGTATGTATCTGGAAAAGTAGAGAGCAGAGAAAGAGGAAACATCTCTATAAATGTTTGGAATGTAACATACCCTTCTTGTGTTAAATAATGTGAAATCAAAATGAGAAGATTTTTTCGTCGTGCTTCTGTCCTCATCTCGCACTGTGAACAAAGAGGAAAATTTAGGTAGGATGACAACAAAAAATAACACTGCTCTTACAGCAATAAACCCTGGAAGGTAAATGTAACCTGTCAAAACCAAGCAGCATGACTTAAAGGCTGGAAAGCAGTTTGAAGTCTCTAAGGACACATAAAGTTGTTTTTCATCATTATTTTCTTCTTACAGCTGCCTTCTCAATTGTAAACTTAAGGGACGATGATTTGAATTAGGATTGCTCTTTACCACTTGAACTTCTTCCTGCCGAGCCAATCGGCCTTTTATTGCTTATAATCGTGAGGAAACAAATGCACATCTACTACTATTGGGACCAGGTTAAGGAAAGTGATTAGAAAAAGATAATCAGCTGCGAGCCAGAAATCATCTGTGACAACACAGGCACTTACCTGCTACTATATCTCTAGTTCACTCAGAGCCCCACCCAGTCCCTGCCAAATGCAGAGATGAGTTCCCACAAACCATTCAGGGGTGACTGCACAGGCAAGCATTTAGAATAGCCATTGAGAATAGCAGAGGCCATAAAAGGACAACTCCTGTATAATAAGGTCTTTGCTCAAACTAGATGAATCCATGCATTTATTCACAGTGTTAATGTGCTACATTTAGGAATCTGGTATCTCACATTGCCCCGAAATGTATTCACAAAATAATCATGTTCAGTAATACTTCCCTTATTTGAAAATAACTTATCTATCTTTATCTAAGGAGAATATAGGTAAGAACTAGACAAAAGCCATAAAAGGTCTTTGTGTGGCCTAAATTATATCATAAAATCTGTGGACACTTATATTCATGACACATACAAACAATTTACAGTGGCTGGGTGCAGTGGCTCACACCTATAATCCCAGCAATCTGGGAGACCAAGGTGGACGGATCACTTGAGGTCAGGAATTCGAGACCAGCCTGGCCAACATGGTAAAACCCCATCTCTACAAAAAATACAAGAATTAGCCAGTGGTGGTGGCATGCACCTGTAATTCCAGCTGCTCAAGAGGCTGAGGCATGAGAATCTCTTGAACCTGGGAGGTGGAGGTTGCAGCAAGCCAAGATTTTGCCACTGCACTCCAGGCTGTGTGACAGAGTGAGACTCTGTCTCAAAAAAAAAAAAAAAAAAAAAAAAAAAAAACAGAAAAGGAAAAAGAAAAACAAGCAAACCAAAAACCAAAAAACACTTTTCAGGCTTTCATGCAGAGCTTTCTAAAAATTAATGTTGTAATGAAATTAAAATATGCATATAATTACTTGAAAATCAAATAATTATTAAATTTTTTTCTAATATTGCTTTATTTATTGTGGTAAAATATACGTAATATAAAATTTACCATTTTGACCATTTTTTTCTTTTTAAATTTTTTTTTGAGACAGGGTCTCACTCTGTGGCCCAGGCTGGAGTACAGTGGTGTGATCAGGGATCATGGCAGCCCTGCACTCACCAGGCTCAGGTGATCCTTCTGCCTCAGCCTCCCAGTAGCTGGGACTACAGGTGCACACTACCACTTAAATAAAACTAATCTGGCCGATTTCTATATTTTTTGTAGAGATGGGAGCCTTACAATGTTGGCCAAGCTGTTCTGAAACTCCTGGCCTCAAGCAATCTTCCTACTTTGGCCTTTCAAAGTGCTGGGATTACAGGCATGAGCCACCACACCCGGCCCATTTTAAAATTTTTTTTATTTTTTTATTTTTATTTTTAATTTTTTTGAGAAGGAGTCTTGTTCTTATCACCCACGTTGGAATGCAGTGGTGTGATCTCTGATCACTGCAAACTCCGCCTCCCAGATTCAAGCGATTACTCCTGCCTCAGCCTCTTGAGTAGCTGGGATTACAGACGCCTGCCACCATGCCTGGCTAATTTTTGTACTTTATTAGTAGAGATAGGGTTTTGCCATGTTAGCCAGGCTGGTCTCGAACTCCTGACCTTAGGTGATCCACCCGCTGCAGCCTCCCAAAGTGCTGGAATTACAGGTGTGAACCACTGCACCTGGCCATCATTTTAACCATTTTTAAGTGTACATTTCAGTGTCATTAAATACATTCGCATTGCTGTACAACCATCACCACCATCCATCTCCAGAAATTTTTCATCTTCCCCAATTGAAACTTCATTCCCATTAAAGAGTAACTCCACGTCTCCCCTGCCCCCAGCCCCTGGCAATCACCTCTCTACTTTTTTGTCTGTGGCCCAGGATAGCTTTGAATGTGGCCCAACACAAATTTGTAAATTTTGTTAAAACATTATGAGTTTTTTTTTTTTTTTTTTTTTTTTTAGCTCATCAGCTATCCGTTAGTGTTAGTGTAGTTTATGTGTGGCCCAAGGGAATTCTTCTTCCACAGTGGCCCAGGGAAAGCAAAAGTTTGGACACCCTTGCCCTAGAGGGAACAACCTTAATTATTTTTACCATGTTTCTAAATAATACATCAGTGTTTCATGGTATGTGTGTTAGGCATTAACTATTCACTTCCTTTAAGATAGATGAGAACTAAGCTGTCTTACACCCTTTTCAAACTATCCTTCCCTACAGTTGGATCAGTATTTGCTGATTACATTATTAGGACCATGTAAAAGTTGTTCACAGTGGAGCCAAAAATACCATGGTTACTTTTCCATTTCTGTACATTTTTTTGAAATGAATAACCACCCCATTTTTATTAGGTTACTTTCCAACATACCTGTTGTTAATAATTAAAACACTAACACATCTCATATCACTTTCCATGCCATCAAATACATAGATTTTGTGTCCTTTCTACTCACTCACCTCTTGCTTCCCTCTTGGAGACTCTATCCTCCCATTCTGCTCTAGAGAATGACTCCTAGACCTGCAATAGATGCTGTTTCTGGGATTTCCCTTTGACATTTTCTTGCATTGGATCCCCTAGAAACTGAGTCTTTCTCTTCTGGTCCCTCTCTTGTTTTAATAGCACACATTCTCTTGTGTAAAGGTGTATGGGAGATAAATGGAAGAATTTGTATGCCTGAAAGTGTCTTTATTTTACTTCAAGCTTAACAGCCTGAAAAGATATAACATTACCATTATGATTCCTGATCCTTTGCATGTAATGTAATTTTTCTTCCCAGGAAACATTTAGGATCTCATTTTTAAACCTAGGGTTCTAAAATTACACAATTTCTTTGGTGTGGATCATTTTCTGTTCACTGCCTAGCGATTGTCAAGCTAGAAATCCTCATATTCTCATTTTTTGAAAGCTTCTTTGTTATTTCTTTGGTAAATTATTTCCCTGTGTTTTCTCTGGTTTAATTTTATGAATACCTATTAATTGGATAGGAGATATCCTGAATAGATTTTTAAAGTTTTTTTTTCCACAGTGTTCCATTCCTTTGTCTCTTTTGTTCTATATTCTGAGCAATTTCCTTGACCTTATTTTTTAGCAGAAGTATTATTTAGCAGAATTTATTTATAATAACATTTTTAATTTCCAGGAGCTTCTTCTTATTCTCTGATTCTTTCTTTTTTCATAGCATCTTATTCTTGTTTTTTAGAGTATTCTCTTATCTTATGATTTAAAGTCATAATGAAGAGGTTCAGTTATGCTCAGTATTTGCAATGTAAGTAGGCAGGTAACCTATTTTATAAACATATCCATCCAAAAGAATTCAAATGGAAAGTTTTGTTGCTTAAGATGATAATCCCTTATTCAGTGTGCTAGAAAACACAACAAATAAGGCAACCTGTGTTTCAAAATGTTTGTGAAGGGAGCATAGTAACTACCATTTGTTTGACTGATTTTGCTCTCTGCCATTCAAAAGCTAGTTGTTGCTTTGAATTTAGTCTAAAATAAATAAAACTCAGGGCTCTCAGAAGTCCAAAAGAAAAAGAGATTTAAAAATATAATCCTCAAACCTATAAAATAGATGACATAAAATGTAGTGATTCAGAATGAGATAAATAGTTGCAAAGGATGTATCTGATAAAGGACTGGTATCCAAAATACACAAACACAGAAAAACCCTCTTAAAACTCAACACTAAAAAAAAAAAATCCACTTAAAAACAGGCAAAACAATGAACTGACACTTCACAGAAGAAGATATAGAGATGGTAACCAAACATATGAAAAGATAACATTACGTCATCAAGGAATGGAAAGTTAAAACAACAGTGAAATACCACACTACACACTTACTGGGATGGTGAAAATCCAAAATACCAAATGCTGGCAAGGATGTAGAGCAACAGAAACTCATTGATTGCTGGTGGGATGCAAAACAGTACAAACACTTTGAAAGACACTTTAGCAGGTTTTTTTAAAGTAAAGACTAACCATACTCTTAGCAATTACTCTGACCCAACAATTGCACTCCTTGGTATTTACCCAAATGAGTTGAAAACTTATGCTCACAGAGAAACTGGCACAGGGATGTTTATAGCAACTTTATTCATAATTGCCAAAACTTAGAAGCAACCAAGATGTCGTTCAGTAGGTGAATGGATAGATAAATTGTGGTATACTCAGACAATGGAATATTATTCAGAGCTAAAAGAAATGAGCTATCAAACCATGAAAGAACATGAAGGAAATTTAGATGCATATCACTAAGTGGAAGAAGCCAATTGAAAAGCCTATATACTGTATGATTCCAAATATATAACATGCTGGAAAAGGCAAAACTATAGAGACAGTAAAAGGATAAGTGATTGCTAGGGGTTGTGGGGAGGAAGGGATGAACAGGTAGAGTACAAGATTTCTAGGGCAGCGAAACCATTCTATATGATATACTGTAGTGACAGATATGCACCATTATACATTTGTCCAAACCCACAGAATATACAGCAGCAAGCATGAACCCTCATGTAAAATGGACTTTGGTTGATAATGATGCCAGTGTAGATCCATCGATTTAACAACATGTAATTGTATTTTGGGATGTTGACAGTGGGGGAAGGTGAGCATGTGGAGAGGGGAGGTACGTGGGAATTCGCTATACTTTGTTCAATTTGGTTGTGAATCTAAAACTGTGC